ATCTTGTGAACCCACCAGATATATCCACATGAAGCTATGATGTCTGGATTATTCAGAACAGTTGAGGCTCGAAGGGTATATGTATATATGAGTAAATTTATAGCTTAAGATAATTTAAGCCCTGCCATCACAACACTCTTAGGCTGAAGCTGGCCAGAAAATGGGCTTAACCTAGAATGGTGTGACCAGAATTATAATGCTTAATACTAAAGAAATTATACTTCGTTAGTTGACCTAAAATCTTTATATTCCTCGCACTAAGCATATCCTCTTATAAAATCTTTTATAAGGTTGAAAAATTAAAATGATTGTCATTCTTTTAAGTGCTTCACTAGTGAGAGCCACATCAATTCATTAATGTATGCACTTAGGCTGACAGGCATAGACTGAATAATTCGATTATATTTTCAGATGTCATACATGGCAAGATGACCAGCATTCTCTCGCTTCTTTACAAGTTGTCGCTCTATCGCCGGGCAACCAGCACCTCACAGCAAAGCGAGTCAGGATGGCGATTTGGTAATCAACACGAGGAAGAAAAATTTGGAAGTAAAGATAAGGAAACCCTGAAAGTTTCATCTGTGAATGTCTGCTCTGGTCAGGCAATTCCAAGGCGAGCTCAGCCAATGACGGAGCCACATGAGACTGTTAACTCTTCTTCCTGCACCAATTCATTGTCTGCAATTCGAACTGTTCGCGAGGCATTTTCTTCCCCCTCACCCTCTGCGTCATCTGCCTCGTCAACTGCTTCATCTTCTTCTGCTTCTTCATCCCGATCCTCGTCGGCTTCTACGAATGGGCATCATCTTCTTCTCGAAGCCGAGCTTGCCTCGGAGGAGATAATCTCGGCATCAATTGCATTGACCACAGACCTTGAGGACTTATCTCGATCTGAAAAACGTGATTCTGGAATATCTTGTACTACAAACAGTGGCCATTCATCCAGTGGTTTCTGTAGCAAAGCCGAGACCCCTTGTTCAACTTCCAGGTGAGCGATTAAATTGGCAAATAGATTTATTGTTTTTTCCTTATCAAAGCGTAACAAAAAAATATTAGACATTTTTAATTATAAAAGTTAATTTAATCTTTTTGCTATACCATCCGTCGTTACAACAACATTTAAAATTAATCCCATAATAAATAATTGAATGCATGCCTTGTACTAGGCTCCAAAAAGTGG